AAAAACATCCTCACTCTCACCCAGGATGCAGTGACTTGATATTCGGTTATATCATGGGAAACAAAGGCTCTTTATTCCCACAGACCTGCGCTTCTTACTTCTGACCCTCATGATTTGCTGAGCTTTGGCACTGGCTCTTCTCACAGAATCACCAAATATTTTGTGTTGGAAAGTACCTTTAATGGTCATCTAGTCCAGCCCATCTGCAATGAGCAGGGACATCTTCAACCAGATCAGGTTCCTCAGAGCCCCGTCCAACCTGGCCTTGAACGTTTCCAGGAATAGGGCATCTCCCAACTCTCTGGGCAACCTGTGCAGTGTCTCACCACCTTCATCATAAAAAATGTCTTCCTTATATCTAGTCTGAATCTACCCTCTTTTAGTATAGAATCATCCCTGTATCCATTTTGGGACTAATTTGTTGTCTGCCATTCTTTGCTTGCTCTTTGTAGCAGAAAATTAAGAGAAGAAGTCCTGCAAACCAGCAATGGAGAATGGATTATAGCCTCTGGCATCGATGGAGAAGCTATTATAAAAAGAATAAATGATCATGCAGGATTGCGCACGGGTTGAAACACAGACAAGACAACAATTCCTTTTTTCTATCCCTCGTTGGGTTCAGCACAGTCAATTCACTCACAATAAAGAGCTGCTGAAAGCAGCAGTGATGTCCATTTCAACAGAGAGATTACTCAAGAGCTCTATGTGGCACACATCTATTGGTTTTGCCCCTGTAGCCACTTCATCAGCACAGAAAGGACTAGGTCTGGTTAAGAGGCATCATTCAGGTCAAAATAGGGCAGCGGGCTTCTATCGCCCACCCATTGCCCCCACTCCACCACTGCAAGACCACGTGTCTCAGAGGAGGAGACCTTCCACAGTGGTTATTCTCTGAAATATCTGCCTGGGATAATTCTGAAAACTGCATCGCACTGAGGTCAGTATTTGCATATGTTTGGAAAAATGATTAATTTCCTTTTCTTATTTAAAAAAAAAGTCAACTCAAACCCCATCGAAGTGAAAGGATCTGAAAATTAGGAGCCCTACTGCGCCCTTGCAACTCTCATTAAAACCACTCTGAGTCACTTATTCTCTAATACTTTTGAATTCTCACACTTTCTTACACACAAAATGTTGTGGGGAAGTGTCATTTCTCTGCAAAAAAATAAAGAAAATGGAGCTTGACTTCTTAAAATGAGATGATGAATGACCAAGTTTTTTAGATTTTACCCAGCAGCGGGCAAATGGGCACAGTGGAAATAACTTTATTACTGCAGCCTGCCTAATCAAAGCTGCCTGGCAGCCCTGAAATACAAGCCCTGGGATATAGGTACATTGAGTGCACCGGCAGCAAAAGTAGTTTTCTAAACCTAATTTGGTTCGAAAGAAGTGGGCGGTGGAGCAGAAGCTGGTGGCCGAGCAGCTGCTGGCTAAGGGATGGTGTTTCGGCACGTAGCACCGACCTCTTTATGCTCCATGTGAGTCTCTTTCCTACGATGTTGCCTGGTGCTGCTACCAAAACCGCGAGCTGGTTTCACGGGCACTGTGTGGTGCCCTGCACAGCAAGTGTTGCTTCCCCCTCTGCTGAGCCGTTTGAGGAGGCATATCCCAAACCTCGTGAGCACCATCGCAACCCAGGGCAACAGAGAGTGCCTTTGCAGATGAGAACTGAGATTGGAAGGCTGTTGCTCCTACGTAAAGAAGCTTCCTCATCTCCATCTGCTTCAGTCTCTGTCTTGATACAGTTGAAGTTTTCAGGGTCAGATTCTCATTTGTGCGCTTCTTTCTCCAAGCTTTCCTAAAGAAGTCAACCTTGTCACACTGGGGACGAAGCCACAGGGTTACATTTCATCCCTGTGAGATTATTCGAGAGCATGAAGTGAGGAATGGTTTAGTTTGGAGAAGAAGAGACCGAAGGGAGACCTTATTACCCTTTACAACTCCCTGAAATGAAGGGGTAGTGAGGTTGGGGTTGGTCTCTTCTCACTTATAAGTAGTGATAGTATGAGAGGAAATGGCCTCAAGTTGCGCCAGGGAAGGTTTAGATTGGATATTAGGAACAATTTATTTACTGGTCAAGCACTGGAAGGGGCTGCCCAGGACAGTGGTGGAGTCCCCATCCCTGGAGGTGTTCAAGAAGTGCCTGGATGTGGCACTTCAGGACATGGTTTAGTGGGCATGGTGGTGCTGGGTTGATGGTTGGACTTGATGATTCTGTGATTCTGTGTATTTCACCATCCCATGTTCTGTTATCTCTTCTCTCTTGCATTAGTCAGGACAGTATACACAACCATACAGACAAGCTTGTGCACTGCTGCTTTTCTCATTTTGTTGTTCTATTAAAGTCAGAGATGATACACAAATGTAAAATCACAAGAACCACTCTACAAGGGATGGATGGGTCAAGTGGAGATCCTCCCAAGCACAGCAAGGAAGAGAAAACAACTGTGCAAAGGTCTTGAAAACAGGACTCAAGAGGGAAGAGGAACAGGAACAACTTGTCCATATACCCACTGGGGATGGGAAATAAATGTGTCAACCTGCAGCAAGTGAAATTCCAGGTGGACATTTGGAAAGTGCCACAGGCAGGAGGTGCTGACCATGGGGCAGCAGCAGGGACCCCAGCTTCTTCTCTCTTCCTGCCATTCGCTGCGGCCAAGGTGTGGATGAGTCACAGGATGCAAGCAGATAGCACAGCAAACAGAGAATTTCAAAATGAGTTAATTGTTTGTATAAACCGTTCTACCAGCTTGAATACAAGCCAAATTTATACAGAAAGGATTTCTTCTTGTACGGTTTATAACTGGCTGTGAAATGCATTGCCACAGGGTGTCTTTGAAGCCATGAAAATAAAGCACTGACAGAGAGAGTTTTAATTGATAACAAAGCTATTTGGTCATTAACATCTCTGATAACCACAAAAACAAACATACAAGGAGGTACATTAAATCACTGGTGCTCCAGGGAGATCTTTATCACCTCTGGTGCTCTGGTTTCAGCCTCAATCCCCTCTCATCAGCCAGTCATTGCATTTATCAAACTTTCTTTTACATGCAGACAAGTACTTTGTGTTGGCCAGGGGATATTGTCCCTTCCATTAGGTGTTAGATGCTAACTTGGCCCAGCTTTACAACGAACCCTTGGGAACTACCTTGTCACAAGTAGTGATATTGCTGCTGATCAGGATCTGGCCATAATATGAGTAATCATATCCTGCACCCACCTCATGGTGGCATAAAGCCCTTCTTACCCACACTACATTACAGTTATGTGTTAATCATCTATTAATTACAACAAAGCATAAAATTCCTGCCTCTCATTAAGTCTGACTCAGATATCTGGAAGCCCTTTTTTCCCACTGACCCTCCAAACAGCAGTCAGAAAGATTATTGATTAATTAATTGCTTCCTTTTTGGTGACTCCCCAGTCACTGAGTATCTATTAGATATTAGTCATGCAACAGACGTGTCAACCACTGACAGCAACCGCAGCTGATGAATAACTACGATATCAATTTAGCTTTGTTTGGAAAATTTAGGCATGCAGTGGGAGATTATAATTTCTCCTGCAGCTGTTGGGCAGGAAAAGTAGAGTTGTTTAATACAGGAAAATAGCTACTTTACCTTTTTGTGCCACATCTCCTGTACAACAATCAAGGGGTGGGAGATCAGTGTAGTGATTTAACAAGAGGACCTCTGATGTCTCTGATCTACCCATCCCCTCAGAGCAGGTTTAAAATAAATTAAACTGAAATTAAACGTCAACATTTAATCAGGGTGCTCAAAGCCTTGCACTGTCAAGTTCTGATTTTCTCTCAGATAACCACTGCCCTCAGGTGTAATCATTGGTCTCCTAGAAATCACCTCCTGAATGCACAGCAGGTCATGCCATGCTTGTATGTAAGAAGAAGAGTGTTGCCTTATATAGCTTATAGGGATTTATAAGAATATCTCCTCAAGAGGAAGAAATGCATTCTCTCCAGTAAAAAAAAAAATAAATAAAATAAATGTCTTTCTATGTGTTAATAGAAAAGTTCCTTATTTTTCAAAAGTAGCCTAAACTTAACTGATAGTGATTGAAAAATAAAACGTTTTAAGCATTTGGAGATATCTGCCATTTCTCTTTTAGTTTACAGCAAGCTCAGTCAGGACACCAGAGCTCTGGCACTGACTCACACTGTGATTTTGAGGGGAGAAAGTGTCATCAAGGCAAATATATTCAGATTTGGGTGCCTGAAGGATCTCAGCTCGGTAAAGTACTTAAGTAGCAACTTAATCTCAAGAGAGCTTTCATTAGAGCCAAGAGGAGGGCTAGGTTTTATTTTAAAAGGCTTTAAATAATCTTTAATCTCTTTGTTTCAGTAAGCTTTTGTTAGTGTCCCGGTTTTCAGATCTCTAGAATAAAACAAATGCTATGGGGTGAAATCTAATCTCATGGGAAATATCATGTTCAACTTTTGGTTTCACTTCAGACCAGGAAAAATGGGAAAATAATTCTTTAGGACGTGGAGAAACCTTGGAACCAGAAGTGTGAGATTTTTATTTGCATAATTCAGCCCTGGTGGAAGCATTTCAAGAGCTACATTTTCTCCTAAAAACCTCTTATCTTGCCTATGGCAAGTGCAAACGAATGCGTTTATGGCTTAAAATAAGCCATGGAAAGGTTTTGGGTGTTTTTTGCCATTGCGATGTTGAGTTACATTAGCTGCGTTTGAATGCTTAACTCTTCACCTTTCCAGTTCTGAGGTAACCCAAACCACTGACACATTTAGAGTAGACGAGCCTGGATTTAGGGGCAGGCTGGTTGAATCTGACCTTCCGCTACCTTGCAAACTTCTGAAATCATTCTTGCTTCTAAAATTGTAAATTTAACCGACCCACTTTGAATGGATATTTCAGTAAATGGCATTAGAGAAAACCCCTTCTGAGGGAACCACTTCCTTTAACCTGTACACCTCTAACTCTAAGAGGGAAACTGAATTGTGCATTTAACTTTTCAAGCATCAGCATCTTTTAAACAAGCTGATATAGGTCATGGCTATCCCAGAAACCGCAAAACTAAATTCTACCCTTATTTATATCCTCCTTTGGATGCTACAAGGTGAGTAAAATTTGGACTTACGCATAAATATTAAGCAACTGTAAAAAGCATGCCTTATTTGCATAATTTCATCTGAAAACACATGAAATTAGACATAAGAAAAGGCGCTTCTTAGTTACTTGTTACTTGTTGATCAAGACTGTTACACTGAGTGTTACTTTATGGTGCACTTCCTAGCTACTTGTAACCACTTGTCACAGAAAAGTGACAACAGTAATTTCCTAAGAAAGAGAAGGATACATTCAACATCCATGTCCCCATTTCTAAATCATAACCCCTTCTTCAAGAATCTCTCATATTCAGCCAACGACAAACGGCAACACTTATGTGTCTGTCCATCACCCACCTACTCTCCGAACAGCTTCTCAGGAACCTCACTAGGAAGATGGCATAGCCAGTTTATTGTATTTCATAGTTCAGCATGATCAGCATCATTACCCAAGAAGCTGTGGTCTAAGAGATCTGAGCCTACCTCCCCCCCCTCTATGTGCCAGGTTTTGCAGCACTCTGGGTGAAGAGTCTTTCTTTGGGAAATACTGAGTTCTCCTAATTAGCCATGCCATGATGTATATGCTGGACACAAGAAGCAAGAAGATGCTGTAGGCTAGTGATTGAGATATTTTCCTGGGTGGAGACCTTAAGTTTCTACTTCCTAGTCCAGTATCTGCTTTATTAAAACTTTTCACATCCCTACTTTGCCGCTGAGTGGTGTAACTGCAGAGCTCCATGATCTCAACAAAGGATCATATAAACATTGAATGGTTTGGATTGGGTTGGAAGGGACCTTAAAGATCATCTAGTCCAAGGATATCAAATGATACCACAGAAGTACCCCATCCCAGAGCATTCCATACATCCCAGTGACCAAAATACTTACTAGAGGGCTGTTGGTTTAAATTCCTGAAAGTAGATGGAGCAATGAATACAGACATCCCTCTTTGCAGGCAAGGTCTCTTTCAAGGTCAAGCCCACAACATTTAATGAGCATTCAGGGCTCATCAGGACATTTACGTAATGAAAAAACAAAAACCAAGGCAGTTGCTATCAGCCAGAGCAACAGCGATGACCCAAAGTCGAAAGAGGGCATAGCTTTGAAATGCCCCAACCTGTCCCGGTCTGCAATGTCCTTACAATATCTTAGTGAAAATCTAGAAAAATAGCCCTGAATGGGGAAGAGGGATCCTGACTGTCACCATTTCAATTGGAGTCTGTCCACTTGAGCACATGGATTTAAATATTGCATGTTAAATACTAACGTGGCAAGGTACATCAGAGCTGCAGTATATTGGTCTTACAAGGATGGAGAAACAGCAGTGTGGGCTTAGGATCTACATAGGATCATTGACTGCTGTCACCCAGGACACAGGGCTGGAACACAGGGAGTTGTAATGTCTTGGGGCTACACAATGCAGGTATTTTAGCTGCCTGTAATTTCAGATGCATCATGCTATCACCTGTAAACTATGAACAAGGTGCCTGCAGCTCCTTCCAGTTGTCCTGCTTACAAGAGGAGCCATTTTGCATCCGTCAGCCTCCACAAGGTTTCTCTTTAATCCCTCTGTCCTTTCCCAAGCATAGACACTAAAGGTTTAACTACATCCATCACACTTCCCAGACTTCTTTCCTTAGGATCCTAGCACAAGAGACCATAGCGAAATGAAAAGGTGGCAAGCTCAAAATCAGTGTTCATGTTTTGGTTTTGTTGGTTTTTGTTTTTTTGTTTTTGTTTCTTTTTTCCCAGATGGAGAATGACTGTATTTGGGAATTCTCTATCACAAAGCATTCTGGCCAAAACTGACGTATCACACCTGAGATGTAGATATGAATAAAAATATCCAGACTAGGAAACTGGGAAAAGAAAAAAAAGAAAGGAGCTTGAGAAGGAACCTGGACCCCTAGGAACCAAGGCAAGTGACAGCACATGGCAAGTATGGAGAACAATTGGATGGGGGTCAGCTGTCGAACATCTGCCCAATTCAGGGTGAAAAGACATCTGACTGACCTAGGAGCAAACAGATCCAATCTGGCAGTGCCAGTGACATTAGTGGTTTTGATACCTACAGCATCCTGAGTCAAGACCATGAATACCTTAACTTTTGTCTGACTACATGACAACTCTAGTCCCGACTTAAAATTGCACACTTAGCACTCCCTTACTGCAGTGCGTGCCAATTTTTTAGTGGATTTCCAATATCATCATCGACTTTTGTTACTTCTTGAGTGAAATGGCTAAAGTAATGACATCATCTACAGACCTAAGAAAGTGTGAGTGCATAACCTCTCTTCCACCTGCGTTAATGGAATATATATACACACACACACTTCTTGATTTAAGGTATGGTCAGAAACCACAGTTAAGGTTGGGGGGAAAAAACCCAAACCACCTACTCCACATTAACTAGGACAGCACAGAAGCCCTTATAAAAAGTCCACCAGCAAATGTGCCCAGACACCTTCAGATCGACAGAGACAAGCGCAAGGATCAGCCACAGTAAGCGAAGGAAGGAAGATGTCTTCGATCTTTTGTGCTTCTCTGGTAAGAACTTGCTTTGTGGGTTTTTTTTCCCCCAATTTGATGAATTCTAATAGATGATGGTCAGGAATAGGGATCTGCACTCATCTTTAAAATTGTTTAATTGAAATTTATAATCGAAAGTAACTATAACAGGAGACTGGTGAATAGAACCAGCATGGGGCAGCAATGAGACTGTATGAGTATATTCATGAACGGGGCTTGAAAGCTCAACCTTATAGTGTCTTTTTGTTGTTATATCCTTTCTGCTATCTCCTGTCTTATAGTATTTTGTATAACTGATTTTTTTTATCACCAAATTATGACTGAATGTATACCATATCTGTCAGCACTGTAAGAATTAGTCAATGAAAGCAAGCATGGAAAGTGATGTAAGGTACATTATATGTAATTACTCCAACTTGTAGTATATACTTTCACTACCAGCAAGATTGACTGTGGATGAATTTTCCAGCCCCACAGAAGAGTTGTTAGGTGTGCTGTGTTACAGCACCTTACCTGCATTGTGTCCTAAATGCACTGATTTTCTTCAGCTCAGGTCACTGCTCTTACTCCTGCTGGCCTTGCTGTCAGCGAGCAGTTCTGCCTATGGGAAGGTTCTACAGCCTGGTCTCAAGCCAGAGAACCTCTTCAAGCAAGTGTATGCTGGATGCCTGACCCCAAAAGACTCAAAATTCCCTCAAACTGTGAGAGTCAACATCAGCATTGGCAACACGAACCAGGACACCAGAGTGACTCTTGATGTCAGCAGGCGTTCTCTGGCTCCATGGGATTACAGGTATGGTCTCTTTCCTTTTTATGACATAGACATACACTGGCTGCAATGACCAAGAATAATTCTGAAGCTATGCCCACATTTTTATTTTCAGTGTCTCACTGTTGAGAAATTTTGGAAATATGAGGGTATACACAGTCCCTGTAAACTTATTTGAAAAGTAACCAATACAGAAAGGAGCACAGAGCAAAAACACTGTCTGGGCGAACACACAGAAGGCAAAATGAAATATTTTGTAATTTAATTAATTTATTTGTATATTTGGGCAAGCTTTATCTTCAAAAGCATTCTTTACCTAACACATCATAAAAAATACCTCAGAGGGCTAACTTTGCACCAAATTCAGCAGTGGTTTAATAACATCAGCATCTGGCCCTAAGAACATTTCATGTTTTTGAGAGGGAGCTGAAGGTGTTCAGATCCATTAGTCAGTCTGACATGCTGGGAAGCTTAAATAATTTCTAATTGGTCTTTCGAAGTTAGTGTTATTTATTTGAAGCAAATTCTTTGGAAAGGCAGTTACATGTAATCCTGTCAAGCTCGCCTTACATTTAAAAACCTGCAGTATTTACTTACTCACACTTTACTTACACTTAAAAATCTAGAATAATGGAGGATCTACTGTCCCTTCATAGGAAATCTCCCAGGAGGTACAGGTTCCCGAGCTGGGAGCACATAGTGACCCAGCCTATCATGATTCTAGAGATGCAGCAGCATTTCCATTTCAAACACTTCTCTATCCTTTCATGTCAACTTATAGGATCGACGAGGACCACAACCGTTTCCCCCAGGTGATTGCTGATGCCAAGTGCCGCCACTCCAGGTGTGTGGGTTTGGATGGGCAGCTGGACCACAGCCTCAACTCCGTCCCCATCAAACAGGAGATCCTTGTCCTCCGGCGGGAGCAGAAGGGCTGCCACCAATCATACCGGTTGGAGAAGAAAATCATCACTGTGGGCTGCACATGTGTCACCCCCTTGATCCAACACCAAGCTTAAAGGGAGACAGTGGTGTAAGAGCAGGGAGCCACGGAGGAGAGCTTCCTTGCCTAACAGCAATGAAATGAAGGGTGCTGATTCAGTCTCTGCAAAACTGAATCAAGTAATAATGATTAGCCAGAATCTATCAGAATATGATAAAAATTAAGAAGTCTCAGTTTAAAAGAAAAATAATTATTTTTCCCCAAAATCTTGAACTCTATGAATTCAGAATCTGGACACCTGTATGTGTCAGGATGTAAAAGTAATGGGAACTCTCTACACATTGTTAGTTTACACTCTAAAATATTAATTTATGTAATTCTATTTATGCTGGTGGGAAAGTTAGTAATAATGTATCTGTTTATTTATCTTTGTGTAATAAAAAAATAACAAATAACTCTCTGGTATTCTCCTTTCTTTCTAAAGAAGCTTTTTAGATAAGGCAAGAAATCACTCAATTCAATTATGACCACAGAAGAGATTTGTATAATACTAAAACTTAAAAGTCTCTTGATAACATCTAGCTCTGCTGAGTAGAATGAAAGATTTGAAAGAAATTTGTAAAGATAGGTTCAACAGAACACTTTGAGTGCTTCTTTGCAGTGAAAGAAACTCCCTCCCCTAAAATGGCGAGTGTATTTCCACAGCTAAGTTTTAACTTTGGTCTGATGCAATCTAGAGTTTCTCTCCAACCCATTTCAACACATTTCAATGCATTTTCTGTGGAGCAGGGTCACCACCTGGGTACACAAGGAAAAGTGCATGAGTGAGTCAGGTGGATAAACGAAGAAATTAACCATGTATTACTAACCACAACCATAATCTTCTCCATGCTCGTGTTCTTCCAATGCGTCTGCTGCCAGCAATTAGTGCTTCAAATGTAGAGTACACCGACACAGCACTTCTACCATGGCTGCGATGGGACTTGCGTAGGTGGATGTCTAGCACTGCAGGTGGGTTTATTTAAAACACACTTGGGTTAAAAGTGCTCAGACAAATATGTTCCGTGTTTCAAAAGGCAGTCTGGTTTGTGAAGATGCGGATGTTTTGTTTGCTGCTGTCTCGGGGAGGTGTGACCCTTCTCAGGCATTGGCAAAATGCCATTGACAAACGCAACAGCAAATACAGAATTTCTAAAGATGCAGAGCTCAGGGGTGCAAGCCCCTAATGAAGGGCAAGTTCCTCTCAGGTGAAAACATCTTCTCCAGATCCAGCTGTGCTAACAGAGAGGTGATCATCCTAACTTTAGTTACTGGGGGTTATTCCCTTCAGCTGTTCCAGTGAGCCTAAACCTTCCTAAATCTACTCCAGGCAAAATCAGGTGGGTCAGCCTGTAATCTAGTTGACAGCACAGCCACAGGTTTCATACCATCCCTTGGCCTAGCAGATAGACACTGGCCCAGGCAAACATTAATTAACTTTAAATGATCATATTATCCACAATTACAACTATGAACTCTTGTCCACATCTTCAGTTACCTTCAAACACTGAAATAATGTTGCCCATATGTAGGTATCCAGCAGTATATGTGATCCTAACTTAGCTTGTTTCCTGCCTTGTCTCCAGCTATTCTTCCTTAAGGTCCATTGCAGGTCCTGAAGTTCACCCAAATGGCAGTCCCAAGAACATTAAACATGGGAACTGATTGCCAAAAAAACCCCATTGAGAAACACTCATCTTTTGATGTTTTCAAGGAGTTATATAAATAACAGCCCAGAAAGATTGAAATAGAGCTGCCTGTCTTGTCCGTTAGATATTCTCTCAATGTTCTACCACTTGTTACAAAAAGAGCTTTGGCAAATTGTCTGCAGCAACCCAAGTAACCTTTAACAGTTAGAATTACAGGAAGTCCCATCCTTTATTACCTGGTAGTGATACGCTGTTAGCTGGAGTTGGCACATGAGTAATGGAGAATAGTTAGCAACACTGAGAGAGATACTAAGTGGGAAAATGTCAGAACCAGGTCAGCGAGAGATCACAGAATCACAGAATCATTAAGGTTGGAAGAGACTTCTAAGATTATGAAGTCCAACCATCAGCATAACCCCACCATGCCCCCTAAACCATGTCCTGAAGTGTCACATGCACACGCTTCTTGAACACCTCCAGCGATGGTGACTCCACCACCTCTCTCGGCAGCCTGTTCCAGGGTTTAACCATTTTCAGTAAAGAAATTGTTCCTAATATCCAATCTAAAACTCTCCTGGTGCAACTTGAGGCCTTTTCTTCTCATCCTATCACTACTTACATGAAAGAGGAGACCAACACCCACCTCACTACAACCTCCTTTCAGGGAGTTGTAGAGGGTGATTAGATCTCCCCTCAGCCTCCTCTTCTCCAGGCTGAACAAAATCAGTTCAACTGGTCCCCATAATTCTTGTGCTACAGACCCCTCCCCAGCTTCATTTCTCTTCTCTGGCCATGCTCCAGCCTTTCAATGTCCTTCTTGTAGCGAGGGGCCAAAACTGAACACAGTATTTGAGGCACAGCCTCACCAGTGCCCAGTACAAGGGCACAATGACTTCCCTACTCCTGCTGACCACACTATTTCTAATACAGACCAGGATGCTTTTGGTCTTCTTGTCCACCTGAGCACACTGCTGACTCATGTTCAGTCAGCTGTTCCCAAGCCTGTAGCACCGCATGGTGTTATCATGACCAAAATGCAGTACAAGGCCCTTGGCCTTGTTAAACTTCATACAATTGACCAATGCCCATTGAGAAGTTACACAGAAAGAAGGAATGGGTTTATCTAAGGAGCTGAAGACTTGAAGGTGCTACTACTACCCAGTTCAGGGTGTCTGGAGAATAAATAGCAAAGATGGAAAATGTTTTTGTGAGTCACCAAGACAGAAACTATGGTTTGTTTCTGGTGCTGAGCCTGGCTGGTATCTTCAGAGCTCCTGAAGGCCAGTACTGCCCACAGACCCATCCCCATCAACAGCTCTGAGTCTACCAAACAGTATCAGACAATCACAGATGTTTAAAGCAGGTTTTTTTCTCACCACGTAGTAATGGTACTGTAGAAGTTGCACACCTGGCCCACTCACCTAGAGTCTCCTTAAGCATGAGTTTAAAAATAGTATCAGAGACCAAAGAAGAGGAAGAAGAG